AACAAAATCCACAAATCTCTGATGATCAAGTAAAACCTGACCATCAGTTTCCTTCATCTGGTCAAGCTTCCTGTTCATGTTTGTAGCATAGTCATGTGCGAGCGGTGCAACTGTTTATTCTCATGCTTGAGCCCTCTAATCTCCTGTTTGAGACTCATCACTTCAGCCGCCAATGATTCAACTTGGCGGGTTCGAGCAAATAGTTGTGCCATATTAGACACAGAACCTGCACTCTGAACACTGAGAGCCAGCGAATCCTTAACAGCTAACTCATCAGACCGTTTGGAAAGTAGTCTGTTATCTTTGGGAGTGAGAAGGTTCCTGGCCACCACCGCAGCGGTCATATCATTCTTCATCACGGAATCCCCAACGGTAAGAGGACCAGTTGGGAGACGAAGGATGGGGCTATGTTGTCTGGAGAAGGCGGCTGCCTCTTCAAACAAGGTTCAAGTTCAAACGACGGTCGGAGGGGCCAGACATTTTCAAAGGTGTTGAAGAGAGAAGAGGTTCGGACCAAATCAGATCTTAGAAGTGCAAGAATGAAGCTTCTACTGGTGGAGATTCAAGTGTGCTTTGAACTTAATGCCAGCCCCTATAAAAATCTGGCACTCGAGCGGAGCTTCAGAAAATCAAGAGGCGCCCTGCTCAGAAATCGAAGAGGCGTCTTGATCTCAGAAAAAGGAGGTTTGCTTTCTCTTGAGATCCACGAAGGCCGATCTCAGAAATCGAAGAGGCGCTCGCTTTCTCAAAAGCTGGAGCTCCCTAAAGAGACCACGAGGGCCGATCTCAGAAATCGAAGCGGCACCTACTTTTCCAGCCTTGTCAGCACCTGTCACACGCACACTCAGCTTTGCGGAAATTATGGCATTCTATCAAAGACTTCTGGGGAAGTAGAAAACACATGAATCTTACTGTTTCAATCACCCACTTCCCACACGCAACAATAGCTCATGGGTACCACAGATAACTTTGCCAAAGTTCTCTGCCAAAGTTGAGCACGTGTGAGCTTTGCAACTCCACTACATCGCTCTGACCAAGAAGGGTAAAAGAATAGCCAAAGAAAACAGCACTAACAAAGTTTAGACCCATAAATTTTGAAGGTCTAGCTACCATATTATTACCCACAAGGGTAAAGGAACAGTACCACTGCTGGATAATTGGAAAGTCCATGTATGTCAACCTGTGCTTCGTGGCAAGGTAGACTAGCAAACATGCCCAACCTTTACTCACATTCGAGAAAACACTCCAATAAGAGATTGCTTGCTCCAAAATCGAAGAGGCACCGTCCTCCGAATCTAAAGAGCCAGACTCCCAACATGACTACTTTCTTAAAAATCGAAGAGAGGGTAAAGGAACAGTACCATTGCTGGATAATTGGAAAGTCCCTGTGTGTCAACCTCTGTGCTTCGTGGCAAGGTAGACTAGCAAAACATGCCCAACCTTTACTCACATTCGAGAAACACTCCCAACAAGATTGCTTGCTCCAAAATCGAAGAGGCACCGCCCTCCGAATCTCGAGAGCCACTCTCCCAACATGATTACTTTCTCAAAAATCGAAGAGACACTGCTCCCCGAATCTCGAGAGCCAGACCCCCAGCATGATTGCTTTCTCTCAAAAATCGGTGAGGCACCGTTCTCCGAATCAATCGAAGAGGCGCTCGCTTTCTCAAAAGCTGGGGCTGCTCAGAGACCACGAGGGCCGATCTCAGAGAAATCAAAGAGGCACCTACTTTTCTAGCCTTGTCAGCACCTGTCACACGCACACTCAGCTTTGCAGAAATTATGGGCATTCTGTCGAAGACTTCTGGTGAAGTAGAAAGCACATGAATCTTACTGTTCAATCACCCACTTCCCACACGCAACAATAACTCATGGGTACCACAGATCACTTTGCCAAAGTTCTCTCTGCAAAGTTGAGCACGTGAAGCTTGCAGCTCCCACTACATCGCTCTGACCAAAAAGGTAAAAGAATAGCAAAGAAACAGCACTAACAAAGTTTAGACACATAAATTTTGAAGGTCTAGCTACCATATTATTACCCACAAGGGTAAAGGAACAGTACCACTGCTGATAATTAATGGAAAGTCCCTGTGTGTGTCAACCTCTGTGCTTCGTGGCAAGGTAGACTAGCAAACATGCCCAACCTTTACTCACATTCGAGAAAACAGTCCCCAACATTGCTCTCCCTCCAAAATCGAAGAGAGCAAAAGGAGACAGACTACCAACATTGCTGGATAATTGGAACAGTCCCTATGTGTCAACCTTTGTGCTTCGTGACAAGGTAGACTAGCAAACATGTCCAACCTTTACTCACATTCGAGACAACACTCCCAACAAGATTGCTTGCTCCAAAATCGAAGAGGCACCGCCCTCCGAATCTCGAGAGCCAGACTCCCAACATGATTACTTCCTCAAAAATCGAAGAGACACTGCTCTCCGAATCTCGAGAGTCAGACCCCCAACATGATTGCTTTTCTCAAAAAATCGAAGAGGCATCGTTCTCCGAATCTCGAGAGCCAGATACCACAGACCACTTTTTTCAAAGTGCTCTGACAGAGTTAAAACATGTGAAACTGGCAGCTCCCACTACCGTGCTATGACCAAGCAGGGTAAAGGAATAGCATTACTACTTGTTGTTAGGGAGACTCCTATATATATGTCGACCTCCATCCCCAACGGACAGGCAGACCTGCAAAAATGCTCAACCCTTCATCATATCTGAGAGGGCACTCCCAACAAAGCCTTTCGAAATATTCAGCTTTCTTTCCCCCCGATAATACCTCTGCAAACAAGCTATATACTAGAGCAAGAATATCTCATATCATCAGGGTTAAAAGCAAGAGTATCCCATATCATGCTTTTTTCCTGTTTTTTCTTTTGGCCTTATTTTTACCTGCAAGACAAGGAGAAAGAGAGCAATCAGTCAGCACTTGGAATCAAGCTTCCAGCCAGGAACTGACTGCCTGGAACCCCTTACCTGATTACTTACCTGGCATTGCTCTCGAGTACTCATCTTCAACATCTTATGTTTCCAGGGAAGATTCCGCATCTGCTTGAGGAACAGATAGGGCAAGTGCGAAGGATACAAGGAAGCATGTGGAGACAAGCGTAACAGCACACGTGCCGATACATCCATTACTCTGTCAAAAGCAAAAGTATCCCATATCAGCAGGGTGGAACGTACTCTAGATTTGATGGACTTGTTTTGACCCTCAAATTCTTCAGTCGGCCTTATACTCTGGAGGAAACCAGAAAACCCTCCAGCTCAGTTCAAGAATAAGCCTGTGGAAAGTTACTTCTTCAAAAGCAAAAGTATCTCATATTATCTCTTCTCATTTTTCTTCTCTTTATCCTTCATGCTGCTGCAAGATGGGGAGAAGGTGAACAATCAGTCGGAGCTCTGATTGCTTACCTTGTCTGTCACCTCTTTCAGCAGACCCCCTAGCTCGGTGACTTGGGGGACTCCTACTACATGGTTTGTATCGCGCTTGACCAAGCCTGAAACTACAAGTAAGCTTCAAGTGAAATTGATACATTACCTTGTGCATCTCCACCAGTTAAAGATACCACCCCTGGATGGAGGAAGACTTCCAGAAGAAGATACTTCCAGAGAAGATGCCACATCTACCTATGAGACAGATAAGGCAAGTCAAGACGACACCACACTCCGATACTTAGAAGTTTCGTGATTACGAGATCATTCTCCCACAATATTTCCTAATGTCATTTGTACTAAATTCATTCACTCGTACTCACTAAAGGAGAGCTTGAACCTATGTACTTGTGTAAACCCTTCACAATTAATGAGAACTCTTCTATTCCGTGGACGTAGCCAATCTGGGTGAACCACGTACATCTTGTGTTTTGCTTTCCTATCTCTATCCATTTATTTACTTATCCACACTAATGACCGGAGCAATCTAGCGAAGATCACAAAAAAGCGACCGTTTTCGTTACCTATGATCTATCTTGCAAGAGAACGGAGAATTAGATGGAGATCTCAACCATAGAATATGAGCTGGATGGAAAGAGTGCATCCGGCGTGTTGTGTGACCGTCGTAGGCCACTGAAAGCTCAAGGGAAAATTTTATAGGACGGCAATAAGGCCAGCGATGTTGTATATGGCAGAGAATGTTGGGTGGTGAAGCATCAACACGTACACAAAATGGGTGTAGCGGAGATGAGGATGCTTCGTGGGATGTGTGGGCACACGAGAAAGGATAAAATTGGGAATGAGGATATCCGAGGTACAGTAGGAGTAGCCGAAATTGTAGGAAAGATGAGAGAAAATCGGCTCTGGTGATTTGGACATGTGCAAAGAAGGCCGACTGACGCTCCGGTTCGAAGATGTGACTACGGGACAGAGGTTCAGGGCCGAAGGGGTAGAGGAAGACCTAGGAAAACTTTGGAAGAGACTCTAAGAAAAGACTTAGAGTACTTGGATCTAACGGAGGACATGACACAAACCGAGCGCAATGGCGTTCTAGGATTCATATAGCCGACCCCACTTAGTGGGAAAAGGCTTTGTTGTTGTTGTTGTTGTTGTTGATAGTTTTTATTTATATTTTGCAAATTAATATAAATCAAACATATTAATTGTTGAATGTTCGTTGCCACTCAATACTACGGTCTAGTGGCATTATTCTTCATTTGTAAATGAGAGGTATTAAGTTTGAATTTTGTTGAATGTTCGTTTGAAAAAAAATTAATACATCCCACGCCCAACATCGACCCGTACGCTAATCAGAAATTGTCTCCGTAAAATCCCGAAACCACCCCTATCTGTTTCCCTCCCAAAGAGCAAAGCAAATGCCCCTCACGCCCTTTCCGTGGCAAAATGTCCGTACTCGAAGAAATGGAATCGCCCGAAACGCGAGTGATGAGAGAGAAAGAGGGGAGAGAGAGAGAGAGAGAGAGAGAGAGAGAGAGAGAGAGGATACGGAATCGAAAATGGACAAAAAGGTCGACAAACGGGGCAGGAGACGCAGCGTGGTCTGTGTACGGACCCTGACCTCACCAGCCGCCTTACTGCATGATCGCCACTCCCCGGGCGCCACGTGTCCCTTCCCTACGCCTTCCTCGTAACGTCCCTCTGATCATATATTCTCACATTCGCACAGGAACACTGTTGAGAGGAGAGAGAGAAATGGATGAGACTGAGACAGAGCTGCGGAGGGCAATTCGGTCATTGTCGGGCAGAGCTGACGGAGGTGGAGAGAAGGCCACTGCTTGTGTCACTACTGGTTGGGATGAGGAGGAGGCCACCTTCAACGCCATCATGTCCTCCGGTATCACCTTCCAGTCCTTCCTCCCCACCACCACCTCCGCCCCTCACCACCTCCAAAGCCCAATGCTGCCGTCACCCCCGTCTCTGAAACCCCTACCCTACTCCGATTTCGCTCAAGACACATTCACCAATGTTAGCCCCGCCACCGCCGCCGCCTTGGACTACTCCCAAGTCCTGAGGTTGGCTAAACACGAACCAATTTCCAACTACCAAGACTACTTCCCAACCCCAACATTTTACGATTACCCACCTGATCTCAACTTGCTGCCCACCACCCATTTCTCTCCTCCTCCGCCGCGTCATCTCCAGCACCACGACAATGAATCCAACGACTACTCCTCCATCTTCCAGCACTTGCCAGATCTCCTTCCTCTCGACCCATCTAACTATTTCCCATGTTCTTCATCTTCCTCATCACCCTACAAACGCCCCCGATTCGTCGGCTCTCATCACTTCTGCTACCCGTCAGCTTCTTTCGCCGCCGCCGTCGCCACCCAACATTTCCATCCTCATCCTCCTCTACCCCATTTCAACAACGCCCCTCTGTTCCCACCTCTTAACAACTATGGCTTCCGAACCTCCTCTGCTTCTCAATCTTCATCACACGCCAACGCTCCTACTCCCCCTCCTCCTCCGGCGCCGCAGGTTAAAACTAAGAGAAGGATTACAACCCCATCCCCGTCCCTACCCGGCAGTGCTCTCGCTCGCGAGCGGAGGCAGAGGCTGAGCGACAAGACTCGCTGCCTGCAGAAGCTCCTACCCTGGGACAAGAAAATGGACTCCGCCACCACTTACGGAGAGGCCTACAAGTACATCCAGTTCCTCCAGGCTCAGCTCTCCGCGCTCCAAACCATGCCCGTCCTTACTCCGCCCACCACTTCCTTTGCTACCAGTAGCGTCGGCGGCAAGCTGGAGAGGCTGAGCCGCAACCAGCTTCTGCAGGTTCTGCTCAACTCCCCTTCTGCTCAGACCGTCATGTACTCCCGCGGCTGCTGTGTGTTTTCGGTGGAGCAGTTGGATCAAATCAGCCGCCGATTCAGCCACAAAATGGGGTCCTCCACCGCCTCCAAATCATCTCCACCGTCCCCATAGCTCCATTGATTATCATTCTCTCCTACTAAGTAAAACCAACTCCACTAATCATGATTACTGCTGCTTAATATTGGGTTATCTGCGTCTAATCGCCTTGATTTCTAAAGTTGGTCTCTTTTGTTTTTTAAATTTAGTCTGATTTGTCTCTAACCTTTTTTGATGAAATTAGTCAGAGTTTTGGTCAGTGAGTGATCCTTTTGGAACAGAGTGCTGGTTGGAATTAAGGCCATTATAATATTAGGAGAGAAGGTGACAGTTAACCATAGCTATAGTCTATATCTAGGGACAGGGGAAACAGAGAACACCAATGAAAAAAGTACTTTAATATTGTAATTTGGAAAATTTACGGTTTGGAAGAAGAACCAAATGCTTTATTTTCTTGCTATTAAGTGGTCGCACAATTCCAATCATGTGACGCCGCTACCGAAGATTTTCTCATCTAATAATCATGTCCTAACCATTTAGTACTATAGTTTAGTAGTATTTTTTTTTATTTGTATGTGAGAGGTATTATGATCAATTCTCTATAAAGGCAAATTTGAACAACATTATTACTAGCCCATTGTGAGGCTTAGCCTACTCCCTTAAGCCTTTAATACAATGGCGGAGCTAAGAATTTACAACGATGGATGTCAAAAAATAGCTTTCAAAATTGATCATACTTCCATTTATAATTGTCCACGACGTGTTTCATATTTTGGAAATGTTGTATCACACCATCATTATCAATAGAATCAAATATATCATTCTCAATGTATACGACCAAACTATCACTCAACCATTCATCACTCACGCTTGTATCACCAAAAAACTCTTTCAACGGAAGTGTCGCAACGGGTAAAGTTATTGCTAATTTCACTAGCAAGTACACCAAGGGGTACTGTCTAGACTTGACATTTGTGTCGTGTTTTTCATGTTTGTGTCGTTTTCGTGACATATTTGATATCTTAACGAGTCGTGTTGTGTGACACTCATTAAAGTAAGCAGGTAATATAGCCCGAGCCGAAATCGACCTGTTAATATTATCAAGTAATATGACCCAACCCGTTACCAATTAAAGAAAATATATTTTAAATCAATAAATAATGAAAATGAAAAATATAATTTGACAAACAAAAATGGAAAACATAATACTAAATTAGTATATGCATATTATATTGTCACATATATATTACTTCAAAACATAAAAAAATATATATTTGTCTTTCAAGTATTTGACACACCCCGACCTAAATCAGGGCATGTTGGCCGTTACGTAAGAGTGACGTAACCATGTGCACAATGCGGAAGCAAAATTGATATAAATTGTTGATGCACAAAACCGGAGGTCTTGGAACAACATAAATCCGACCGTGAATTTGCAAGAAAGTAAAGGACACAAGATGTATCGTGGTTTACCCCAATGTTTGGGCTACGTCCACACTGATGTTGATTGTATTTCTCTGTATGAATGTATGGATTACAAGCGTGAGGGGGAGTCCCCCAGAGAAAGAGAGGGTTTGAGAGAGCTTCTCTGTGAGGATGAGAGCTTTGAATATGAGAGCCTCTGTTTGGGGATGTAAGGCTTGAGGATTGTGAGGGTGAGGAGTCCCTTTTATAGACTAAGGGCTCTTCACTTATTACATATTTGCCCCTTCATTTATTACATAATTATATTTGAGTCCCCAGAGTATTTATATGAGGTCTAAATACGGAGGCCCTAAGTATGGTACAAACAGTAATCCCCCAAGTTTTCAGTCAAAAGAATCTTTTGGCTGGAGACTTGAAATTCAGTCCATGTGTAGGCCGAAGTAACTAGATGTCGTCTAGAACTAATACTCGATATGAGGCGATGCTCAATCTGAAATGATGCTCAACTAGAAGTAGCACATGTTGCGAGGCTGCTCGGTTTGTGGCTTATGTTGCCTTAGTTGGCTCGGCTTGTGGCGTTGAAGGTGAGGGAGTCTCTTTTATAGAATAAGGGCTTGCTCTTAAACACATGAATGATGGGCTAGAGTTGATGCTCTCTAATGATGGTGAGGGAGTCTTTTTTATAGAATAAGGGCTCGCTCTTCAATACATAAGTGATGGGCTAGAGTTGAGGCTCGCGGTGAGGTGGTTGCTCAGCAGATGGCAATGCTCTCTAATGATGGTGAGGGAGTCCCTTTTATAGAATAAGGGCTCACTCCTAAATACATAAGTGATGAGTTAGGAGTGATGCTCGCGGCGAGGCGGTTGCTTAACAGGCGGCGATGCTCTCTAATGATGGTGAGGGAGTCCCTTTTATAGAATAAGGGCTCGCTCCTCAATACATGAATAATGGGTTAAGTCCCCCAAGTATTTTTCATGAGGCCTAGTTGCGGAAGCCCAATATATGGTACATAGTGTAGTCCCCCAAGTCTTCAGTCAATAGAGTCTGTTAGCTGGAGACTTCAAATTGAATCCATGTATGGGCCGAAATGGTGGTTGTTCGGAGGCGGTATTTGTATACCCTGCACTGAATCTTTGTAGGTGAAGCTTTGCAAGTGAAGCTTTGAAGCTAGGGCTTTTGTAAATGAAGCTTTTGAAGTTGGAGCTCTGTAAATGAAGCTTTCGAAGCTGATTGACATGAGTGATGCTCATGAATGTTTTATGTTGACTGACATGAGTGATGCTCATGGATGTTGACATGAGTGATGCTCATGAATGTTGACATGAATGATGAGTTCGAATGTTTATGTATGATTGACATGAGTGATGCTCATGAACATTTATGTATGATTGACATGAGTGATGCTCATGATTGATATGAGTGATGCTCATGAACATTTATGTATGATTGACATGAGTGATGCTCATGTATAATTTTGGAGTACTGGACGTACTTTTGATCACCTAGTTAGTGATAATAACAGCAGGCTGCCGAATAGTTTTTGGAGTACTGGACGTACTTTTGATCACCTGGTTAGTGATAATAGCGATAGACTGCCGAATAATTTTGGAGTACTGGACGTATTTTTGATCACCTGGTTGGTGATAATAGCGGCAGGCTGCCAAATAATTTTTTGTAATACTGGACGTACTTTTGATCACTTGCAGGCTGCCAAATAATTTTTTGTAGTACTGGACGTACTTTTGATCACCTGATTGGTGATAATAGAGGGTCTGACTCTTTTGGGCATATGGGCCTTCGCCCTCCACATAACATTCCAGCCCATTATTTTGGGCTTGCCTTTTATTTTTATTTTTTATGATTACTTTCTGATGGAGTTATACATATGTCTCCGAAAGATAAGAAAAATAAATCACATCATTTAAAAATAAATCCGACTCTCTGCTCAATGGGTCCCACCCATAATTCCCTTTTCTGCATGTTATCACCACCGCAATTATGTCTGCTTCTTTTTATCTTCTTTTGCTTTCTGCTTTTACTTTTTGCTTTCTGCTTTTGTTTCCCACTCCATTTCCAGACATCCTTTTGCTTTTTCTTTTCTCTTTCCACTGCACCTCTGTCTCTGTCTCTGTCTCTGTATCTGCGCTGCTGTCTATTTGTAAAAAGCATCTTTGGAGGTCATCACTCATGAGCTCCGTAACCACTTCTTTGGAGGTCATCAACCCACCTGTGCTTGCATGCATCTGATCCAAACCCCTTTCGTCCTCAACGGTGAGTAGATTACGAGAAAGAAGGGTAGATTACAAGAAATGGGTTTATCCCCACTGGTAAATTGAATAAAACTGGGAATAAATAAGAAGAGACGGACAAGAAGGGTTAGGAATGCAGCCCAGATACCATATTCACCTTTAATCCATAAGATGACAGCAGCCGGCGCTTGTAGAAGAAATAAGGGAACAAGAAATGATTTCTGAACAGCAGTCCCTTTTGCAAGCAATAGAACCGTACTAGAAATGATGGAGATAAATTGGAAGGTGTTGATACAGAGAGGTGCAGCGTAAGTGTAACACATCGCACTCGATCCCCTCCTCTTACCCTTCATTACCACGAACTCCTTCTTTATACCAATCGAAACTCTGAAAGGGTTGCGGTGGAGTGAGCTCATACTAAGACAAGAGAGCTTGGCCGACCTCGGTTGAAAGGCAGAGAATTTAGAGGTGGTAGTGCTGCTATTGCCGACGCTGTAGAGAGATAGTCGATGGTGAAGTGGAGGATAGTGAGATTAACGGACTTGCAAGAAGGAGAAGCAGCAGCATGCTCAGAGGCCTGAGTGTTTTTCTTCTCCAACTGAGCTGCTAGATTTGGCGACAGAGGAACAGAAGAAACCTCATTCTTGGCTAATGGAGAACTAAAGCCTGCTGCTTTACCCACATCAACCTCAGATCCATTAGTCAGGGTAAAAGCCTATTTCTCATAACACCCATCAATGGCATTAGAGAATCCCCTGTTTGCCCCTGACACAGGGTTCTTTGGAAGGTTTGGAGAAAACCCAGTTGGCTTGTTCTTATTCCTCTGGTTCTTCTGAACGATGTCTGGAGTCTAACCACATTGGGCTAATCTCAGAGAACCAGTCGGGAATAACAGTAGAGACATAATCTGACTCTTTGCCACCGTCAGTCTCCATGGACACTGCTGAAGCAGCAGTTTCCGCGTCGTTTTCTTTTTCCTCCCTGGCCATTTTCACGGGTAAATCAGCAGACCCCACCACAATCTCGTTCGCCATAGCCAAACGCACTAAAAGAATGAACTAACGAAACAGAAGGAGGCGATATGAATGAGCGAGCCGCCAGCGAGCGAGTTTCCAAACGGTTTAAGGACACTCTGAGACAAAGAGTGTGGTAGAGAGAGAAATCAGAGTTACAGAGAGTAAGGTAGAGAGAGAAAGAACAGAGAAGAGAGGGGGGTTGAAGTTGGAGGTTTAAAGTGTGTACGACAGTTTAGCTGGTGGTTCTTGGAAGAGAAGGAAGCAGGCCGGAGGTACTGATTCTGCTTCTCAAAGAAAATGGTGGGACGTTTTTCGGTGTATTTTGGGTTTTTTTTACAGATTTACAGTGGAGGTGAAAAAATGAAAGAAAACCAACATAGCTTTTCATCTCGATTCTCACAAACGGCGCCAAATGTTGATGCACAAACTGGAGGGGTATTGGAACAATGTAAACCAGATCGTGAATCTACAAGAAAGTAAAGAACACAGGATGTATCATGGTTCACCCTAATGTTTGGGCTACATCCACACTGATGTTGATATTGTTTCACTCTGAATGATGAATATACAAGAAGGCTAGAAGCAGTGTGCTCTCTTGCCTATTTTCTGTGTGCTCTCTTCCCATAGCCTAAGATTTTGGCCTCTCCCAATGAGGAGAGTAAATAGTCATTTTATAGAATAAGGGCTCATCTCTTATTACATATTTGCCCATTCATTTATTACATAATTACATTTGAGTCCCCCGAGTATTTATATGAGGTCTAAATACAGAGGCCCTAAGTATGGTACAAACAGTAGTACCCAAAGTTTTCAGTCAAGAGAGTCTT